AAAATCAGTGATGGTGTTTAGAGGTTGCAGACACATAATATTTTGCAGCTGTGGCTCCCATCTACAATCTCTTGAGCCTGATAAAGAACCCTGCTGATAGTAAGCAGTCTCTCTGTCCTCAGTGTTATTAATTACCTTTTTTTTTTTTTTTTTTGCAGTTGCCTCCTTATTTTCATGGTTTCATTTCAGTTCATGTGAGTAGCTAGACTGATAAACAGATATAAGCATGTTAACAAAAGAAAATTTATCTGATGCAGGTTTTTTTTTTTTTAGAGACTTTATGCATAACTACAATCAGGAGTAGAAACTTGACTGTCTTATAAATCAGGTAAACTGGTTCTTTACTGTCTTCCTTCTCTTCAAAAGCTTCTCCTTCAGCAGTCTTAAATATACAGTGGTTTAGACCAAGCTGCATTAATACAGTGAATTCAAAGTCTGAGCAATGCAGCTAAATAATTGGTTCGGAACAAGAGTTCTATGGAGGTAAGTGACTTGAAAAACTAGAATAGGTATTAAATCGATGTGCAGCCTGCACTAAGTAGCTCTAGAAACTACTTTCACACCTCGTTTCCATAATGAATGAGATGTAAATGAAATGAGCACACTGGAGACACTTTAGTTCGGCTCTGTGTATGTTCAGCTTCTCCAAGACTGCCTGCTCTTATTCCCCTGTGGTCTGTGGGGCTGCTTGATTATAGATCCTTAACGAGAGCTAAAGGACTCATGTACTACAACTTAGAAGAGTCTTTCACATGTGTCATTTAGGAGAGAGTGTCAGTTGGACTCACATATGTATTGATCAAGCAAAGTCCAGTAGGCATCACTGAGGAATTAACTCAGGCAAGGAGCTATCACTGCCATCTATCTGTGTTTAGAAAACACCTCAAGCATTTAAAAAAATCTCTGAGAGATGAATTTATTTAGTCCTTGAAATCCCAGGAACTCTGTCACATATTTCTATGTGTTTATTTTACTACTATATCCTATCCATGCACAGTGTTAGAGCACTGCAGCAACACATATTACTGCCTATAGTACAATGCCTACGGTATAAATTCAGTTCTATGTTACTATCAGCCCATGCTACCAGAAGAACACAAGGTAACATACCTGGTTGAAGTAGGAGAGGTTTGTGTCCCGCGGGAGATTTATGTGGTGCCAACCTGAGCTCCCCACACCGGGGTCACAGGACTAACCATTCTCCACTGCCATGTCTGGCCCCAGAATGAGCTGCCTACTGAGGACAGGTAGGAGACAAAGAGAGCCCTAAAACAAGTTGGGATATCACTTGCAAAGTGCTGAGGAGATAGGATTTGTTTTCTGCTTCCAGTTAATTTCTCACTGTTTGAAAACTCACAAGAGGGGCTGTTTATGCACTTGACACCACGCATATGTTTAAGCACCTTTCTGAATGGGTGTTTGGTCTCCAACAGTCATCATCTTCCTCATGCATAAACAATGCCTCTTTCCTGTGAAATTAGTGAGTACTATTGTGCTGTTTGGCTTCTTGGTGAAAGGTTTAACAGAGGAAGTTTAAAAATGGGAGCAATAAGGGCCTGAGAGGAGCAGAGCACTTGGTACATCATGCCCATAATCAGGAGTGTTAGAAGGGCCAAGGTTACATGAGTCAAGCAAGTATGCCTGAAACTGGATCATTTTCTACCTTTTTGCTGATTTGCTATGAAGAACTCTGTCAACAAATCCTTCATTATGCAGGCTTCCTGCTCTGGCTCTGTGAGGAACAGCAAATTAAGCAGCCCACGTATGTAATATTAATGGCTGGAGAAGTAGCACTGCTACTCTGTTTGTATGTACTGCCAATGCTCATTAAGAAATTCTTGTCACATTGTAAAGATGGCTGGTAGATTACATATGACAAGTTCCTGCATCTATCTCCTTAAAACAGCCCCTGGAGCCTGGAGGGACACGTTCAGTACTGAACCACGTTTGTTTGCACCATCTACCAGAACTCACTTGCTCCTTGGTTCAGTGGGTGCAGATGAGGCCTCCTATTGCATTCCCCTTCTGCAATCAATCACAGACACTTCTCCAGCCCTGACTGATGCTGTGCTGGCACACTGATGGTGTCTGGATATTAGCTTTTTGGTACCTGAATTCTGTGGCACATGACAGAACTCAAACCAATATTACTAGCACCAGCTACCAGCTGCAGCTTTGAAGTGTAACAGGAACTTTGCATTTTCATGTTCAGACCTTTGTTCCTAGTAACTCAATTCGAGCTTCCTACAGTCAGTTAACATATTAATGACCTAGAAATCAATCCAAAGAGCTTCACTGCTAATTCTTGATGATAGGACTGAAAAGATGACTAAAAGTCCAATTTTCAACATTTTACTGAGCTCAGTAAGCACAGATGAACAAAGTGGAGGAGAAATAAGGACAGGAGTGAGGGATCTGTACACTCCATGAGCACTGTTTAGCTTAGCACACACTGGATGTGTCCAGCTGCCTTCAGCAGAAGCATGGGTCCAGTGGTAGCTTCAAATTTTCACTGCGGCTTATCCCCCATCTGCTCCTACATGTTTATCTCAGCCTTCTTACACAGAGGTCAGTGCCAGAAGCTGGTCCTGGGAGCCCCAGCTGCATCCCTGCGTGGGGATGCTCAGCAGCCAAGTCACGAAGCAACCTCCTTTCACTGAGCCATCACAATCAGGAGTTCCTCTAAGCAGATCACCCCTTCTTCCACCATGAGGCCCCGCTGCAGACCTGAGAGGTATTGCTGCCTACCTCTGCCTGCGTGAGCACACAGCGCTGCCCAAACTCTGAGGTATCTCACTGGGTATTAATAGAGAAGTGTGGGCTTAACAGCAGGCACTAGGTCAGTCCTCAGGAGTTTTATTAGTCTCCCAGCACTGATAATCCATGTGCCTCTTCTTTCTCTACTGCACCTTCTGGATTGTTTGTTCAGCCTAAAGCCTGCAGGCCCGTGCCCTGCCTGCACTGCTGCACAGCAGGACCATGCCCTTTGGTGGCAGGCGATGTTGCTACCACCACAGATGCTCTTGGAATACTCCCTGACAGGACAATGTACTTCCATGTGTTCTGATCCTGGTGGGATTCTCCCGCTAGTGCAGATGCTCCTCATGCCTCCCTGTTTCTCCAGGAAATCCTTTGTCTGATTGACTGTGGACACCCCTTTTCTATCCTGTTGTCATCAAGCCAAAACCCCAAATCACTGTGCTCCTCTCTGCCATTAATAACCTTTTACAGCTTGCTTTCATCAGTCCTCCCTCTCAGGCTTAATCAGTAGCTTTGCTCTTAGCGTTTGGCATTCCCTTCTGTTCTGCTAGTCGGGACACCAAGGTCAAATCAGTCCGTTTTATATTTTTCCCTTAAATAAATACTATCAGGCTGCCATGACTTAACACAAAATATTTTGTAATATTGAAAAATCCCAAGTATTGATCAGATTTATCTGTGTACCTAGCTCTCTACACAGCCTGGACTGTAACTTTAATACAGCACTCAATAATGTGCCGTTTGCAAGACCAGTTCATACAGCTGAAGAAGCATTTTTGGCAGGCTGCATGTGCAAGCTCAGAAAGGTTTTTTTCATCGCACCATATAGCCCTCACATAATCATGTCAGTCCCCAAAGAGCAATAGGATTTTAATCAGCTTTTCTAATTGTTTTGTCCCCTGGTCTAGTACAAAGCCAGTGTCCCCCACTCCTAAAGCACCAGTGATAAGGGACTGTAATTGAAGAGGATGCTCTTCTAACCTGATTTTAATATGATTTGAGAGGCTACTGGGGATGATTGCTGCAAAGCAGCAGCAGAGATTGGAGGACAGACAGACAAGCTGAGCACCATTACTCAAATCAGACCCTAAACCAGGGGGAATTTCAAGGTTTCAGAGCAAGAGCCATGCCAGAGTGTAGAAAAATTTGCTAACAGCTAAATCATGCTGCTTTGCTGCTCCTAAAAAACCAACATTACCCACACCTCCTTCGGAGTCACACCCTTACATCTTGAAAGACTGGTACAGCTTCTCACCCCCCCCCCCCCCCCCCAGCAATGGCCCAGGCTATAAACAGCCTCTCCTTCATTTGGAGTGTAGGCTTGGAAGCTCTGTAAGGAGTGGAAAAAAAAAGAAAGCAGCAGAGTGAGGAGAGAAAGGACCAGAAAAGGACTTACCTAAGCTGGGAGACAGGGGGAGCATTTTGTAGCCTGATCTCTTGGGAAGGGGAACAATAATTAACACTGCCATTTCTAGGCTTCATGAGCTGGAAAGAGCCTATCTGTGTAGTGCAGAGTGCCCAGCCCACCCGTGAAAACAGACCTGAGCTGTGAGGAGCTGTGCAGTCACTGGCACGACCTGGAATGAGCCCAGTGATCCCAGCTCAGCCTGGGAAGAGCCAGGGCTGTGCCTCACCCACCTCCTGCCTCGGTGGAGCCCGGGCTGGAGTCGGGCTCCCACCAGCAGAGGAAAGGTCCTCGGTGAAAAGTTTCTGGTTTAATCACGAGCTCCCAGTCTTGTACCTGAGAGGGCTGGTGCTTGGACGTGTTTAATGTGGTTGCAAAGCACAAATCTGAGGGCAATCCCCCACTCATTAATGTTATCTGCTGCTTTGGCTTTGGATGGAAGCATTGGGTGCACAGGGTGGGAGATTATACTTTTCTATTATAAGGCAGCAGGAAGCCTTAAAAAATGCATATTCATTTACTTCTCTGTGTGTTTGTGTGTGCATATATGCATGCTTTACCTATATGTGAAGTAGTCTTATGCTGTGCTCGTTTCTAATTTTAATTCATCATTTACTTACTACAACTTCCCCATCCCCCATTTTAATATTTTCACTTACCTTACTTTGAAGAGCTAGAAATAGCTTGTCAGATCGAGACAGCTCTTGAGAAGTTTAATTTTCCTAATGCTTGTTGGAAATCCCCTTTCTGAATCTGCAGGAATATTAAGGTTCTTAGTGTGAGCTGTGCAGAGAGGGAATTTGCAAGTAAAGCTGTCAGTGAATTGCAATTGGGTTAGGAGAGGCTTTATGGACAGCACTGAAGGGTGCAGGACCTAGCTCCTGGGGAGGAAAGGACGCTTGCTGAGCCTGCCGTGGGTAGCAGAGCTGGGAGGAGATGGGTAAGTGCCAACAGCTTGTTTTCTCTCTGCCTGCCCTACAGGGAAGATAGGTAGTCAGACAAAAATAGAGCAGTGGCACACAGAGCATTTACAAGCAAAGGTAACAGTGTTGTAATGGCTTTTGCTGCTGATTCTCCACCTGGATTTCTAATGTCACAGTTTCTGACTGTCACAGCCGGTAGGAACTTGTTGCGCCCTGACTCCAGGTCGCCAGCCCAGCAGTGCTCCTGCGACAGTGGCCTCTGCAGAAAGCTGCCACGGCATTACTGGCTGTGCCCCTGCACTCAGATTGGGACAGCTGAGGAGCCTCTTATAGTGCCAACGTTAGAGGGTGCAGGGACAGGGTTAAAAGAAGCTTGAACGAAAGCTTTAATGACAGCACTGAGCATTAACTGAGTGTTCAATGTCATTCCCAGAAAGATAGTAGTAGAGTGAAGGATTCTTCATATAGAGAGAGGAAATAAAAAGGTATTTTGCAAAAACCCAGAGAATGGCAGGTGTCTCCTAGCTATTGACAGTGACAGGAAAGCAGAGTAATTTGAGAGTAGGTAACCTGTCAGTGTCTGAATCCTTGTGCTTGCTTCTGTGTCCAGATAAAGATCCCTGGCTCACAAGTGCACATACCAAGGGGGATTGTTCCCCATGTCACCAAGGGGCTATGAAGAAGTGGCCACATTTGCAAAAGCAGGGCCCTGGCAAAGACTAGCAAGTTCCACTGAACTGGCCCCACTGCAGGTTCAGGGCTGGAGGTAAGGCCAGTTCCATCTCCTGCTGGAGCAGGGCCCAGGACAGACTGCGGATCGGGCCTGCGGCTGCAGGATGTTCTGGCTATGGGTCACTTCTGTTGCCTGCTATTGCATATATTTTTAATAAAAGGCAGATAATTTGTGAGTGGAAGTGCCAAGCGAGTGTCTCCCTCCTAGTGGGAGGCCAGCAGCTCTGCTTGCTGACGGCTGTTGTCAAGCTACGCAAACCGCACAATGGGCTCACGCAGGAGTTCAAAGATGCAGGCATGCAATCAGCCCATTTTCCTCCATCCCAAGCAGAAGCAAAATAGTTAAGTGAGATCAGAAAGGCTGATAATTCCTCCTCCTCCTCTTTTACCACCTGCTATTTTCTTCCTGACTATTTGGACTCAAAGAATTACTGAAATTAAATATAGCAATTCAGGCTGCCCATTGTTCCCTGCTCTGCAAAGTGCCGAAGTGGCACCTTTGTATTCATCCATCCATCCCCATCTCCTCAGATGTGCTGCTCACACAATAGTTATTGTTGTAGAAGGGACCTGGAATGAGCTCTTGCATTATTCACTTCATTTATTTTGATACAATATTTGGAGCCACTTCATTAAATTCTCTTACAATGTCCTGTCATTTTTTTTTTACCATCTCCTTGTCAATGCCTGGCTCATACAGATAATATAACAACAATAAGGGGTGTGAGGAGGTGGGGAAATAGACTTGTTTTCTATAAAAGGACATATCTATGAATTATTTAATTCGACGTATTGATCTCAGTATTCCCCCAACCCCTCCAAAAAAGAAAAAATAATAAAAAAAAAGAGTACAACTACCTTGAAATAGATCATTTGCAAGTAGTAGATATGGGGAGTAAATATTCAGGACAATTAAGTCCTGAAAAAAGGAAAAACCCTACAGCTTTACAGAGAGCGCTGTGTGGATATGCAGAAGACAACAGGATATATAAACAGCTATTTACTAGCACTGAAAAATGAACTATAGTCTCTCTCACCTTTGAACGTTTTCATAGATACAACAGATCAGACTCATGATTTTTTTTTTTCTTTTTAATGTTCCAAGTGCTTGTGATCTGAGAAGGGACTGATGTAACACAGCCTCTCCATTTACTCAGGTCCTGCTGTTTTCCTGGCATTGCTGAATTTGTCAGAGCTACCAGAGATGTTGGGGAGCTTTCCTCCCAGGTGTGGCTTGCAAATTGTCCTAAGGGAAGTGCTAGACTTTGGCTCAGCGTTTCAAACTCTCCAGTGAGCAGAATTAATGTTGAAGACATGAGTTTTATACAATGGAGCTCAGAAAATGAACCCACTGCAATTCTTCCCAGGTTATTTTTTTTCCAGGTTTTCTATCCTGCTTCCTCGTAACAACAGTCCACAGAATATTTAAGATGCAAAGGCATAAGGGCTGCCCTGCACTTGCTGTTTGGCTACATTTTAAGCAGCTTTACAAGATTACCTGCATCCTTCCCTCTCCTCCAAGCTCTCCCCATACACCTTGTCATTAAACCACCAAGAAGGCAGCAGACTCCAGCTGCCCCAGCACTTACTTCTGAGAGGGGAAACTGCAGCTAACTTCTGGAGGGGCTTCTCAGATATAGACTGGACACATCAGGGATGTCAACCAACTTGATCTTCCAGAAACGGGGGGGGGGGGGGGGGGGGGGGGGGGGGGGAGGGCGGGTCTGATAGTGATATGTGGGAACTTGATTGTGTCAGGCCTAATCAGCAGCAATTTACTCAGCCACGGGGTGCTCTCCACACCATCTTAGATTTGGAGGAATGTACAATGTGCTTTCAGCTCTTCAGTCCCTGTTATGAACAGATATGATGTTATAAGGCCTTTCTTTCCTGTATGTGAATAACCTCGTATGAGTATGAGGTGTCCATGGTCCCATCTGCCTGTGTTTGCACTGCAGGGCTGGCACAGCTGTGTCAGTCACAAGTGGCATCACTTCTGGTGTGGGCAAGACCCAAGTGATCAGATCTCACAGGTTTTTGGAGGATCTGTTACACTACGAGGAGTCCAGCCTGCAGTCTGGGGATGCTGCTAGAAACCTTGCAGTTGTGAACAGTGTGTTACTGTGTAAAACAGACTTAGCTAGGAGAAGTAAGGAAATAAAAGCAAAATAATTCCAAAAAGATTAGGTCAGAACAGTCAAATGAGGCAAAACTTTTCAGGGCTAAGAAGTGTTCAGTCAATGTAAGTGGCGGGAATGATGAGCAGGCGCCTTCACGAAGCCCAGCGGTGCTGCAGAGAAGCCCATCCTGCTCCTTGAATTATGCCACAGAAAACACTTTCTGGCAATTTAACATTAAAATGTCAGAACACTGGCTGTGGGGACATCCACAGCTGATGGAATGTGTGCTGGCCACTTGGGAATTGGAGTCTAGACTACCGTGGGTGGTTGTCTGAACAAAAAGTAATAAGTAAAAAAATGACCACCAACAAATAAATATATTTCATCCATGGGGCTGTGCTGGTGCCTTGAGCATTGTCTTGGCTGGGACACTCAGGAGTGAACTGTGTCTCCAGCTTAGGCTCTGGCTCTGTAACCACACATGCTTTTCATTTTAAGCACATAATTAAGTTTATTGGAGTAATACAGCTAGTCTTATGTTTACCCAACATATGTAAACAGATATTAGGTTTCACCTATTTGTCCTTATATTTATTTTTGCTATTCATCATTCAAGCCAAAATACCCAAGGAAAGGTATGTACTTGTTTGGACAGAAAAATAAATAGTAATCTGGAGGTAACTCTAGAGCTCAATGCATTAGAAACACATAGCTATAATTTTGCTGCTGGAGAATGTTTTCTTGGACTGCTGCAAGACGTAAAGAGCTGAAGTGGAGAAGTCAGACTCTGAATTCCTGTAGCAATTAAGACAGTAGGTCTCAAGCGGGAGCCACAGAGGTGAAGAAACCTTAGGCCAGACCAAAAGGAACAGCTTAATACAACATGCTTATAAACATTTGGGACAACTACTGTAAATATGAGACTAAAATAATTAATTGTGATGATGGGAGAGATAAAGACTTGATAATTTATTATTTTCTGTGATAATAGCACTAATAAAAGCTTGTAATTTCCATATGAATATTTTTGACACTGCAGAGAAGCCTCTGTCCACTGTAACACCCAAGAGCTGGGGGTGCGTGCTCTCCTCCCAGCCTTTTAATGCAGGCTTTCTGCAGCAGCATAAATTTCCTTCTGTGACAGATGAGAGCCACTGAGCTGAAGGCAGCCAAAACTCTTTTTCATCCTAATTGCTCTGTGGCCCGTTCCTCCTTCAAAAAGTGCCTTTGCTGAAATATTGCAGTGACCATAAATTTTGTATGTATTGAGAGAGTAGCATGATTATTTGGCTGTTTAGACTATATTTGCCCCTAAATGCAGAGCATGGTTGATACCTGAACCTTATGTGTTGATTCATTGATTGCATTTAGTCAAGAGGCTGGGACAGCTTTTTGGATACAAGGTATTAACAGCAACTTCCTTTTAAATGTGATCATTAATTATTTGCCTTCTTAGTGGTGCTAGGTTTTTACTAGCTAGTAGGAAGGACTGTGGGCTTGCCTTTTCCTAGAGTCCCCTGGAAGTTTTGCCTGGATGGATAACACCGGTGGTTCCATGGTTGCTGGCAGCTCTGTTTGGGGACAGCTCAGAGAAGACATCATTGATGATAAAACAGAGTGTCCCTTTGCAAGGGCTGGAGAGGGAGGCCCTGATGGCCTTTGGGCCTCTAACTAATATGTGATACATACAATATAGGAGAGCATTCTCTTCCCTTTTTATTTTTTTTTTGAGCTGCTGTTGCGTTTTGCTTCTCTTAATTGAGATGTTTCAGCATCTCATGCTGTGTGTTTGGGGGAAGCTGACATGATCACAGTTGCTTTTACATGTGGTGCCAAGACAGAGAAAAGCAGTAATAATTGCCACTTGGGTTTTGTTCCTTTCTTTACCCATATGTGTTGCTATCACATCTGAGCTCTTGAGCTGTGTGAGGCACCAAAATGCAAGAGGCAGGCTGGCCCAAATGTTGTTACAGCTTTGCAAAACAGGGGAACTTTCAGCCCATAAAGTCTTGGTTTGCTGTGTGGCTGGAGGTGGTTTTTTAATATTTTTTCCTTATGGAAATCAATGTTCCATATAAAATAAACTGTTTTTGTTTTGGGAATGTCCTTTGAGGCTTTCTGCATAGCATTTTGGAAGGTTGGGGTTTTCCTTGCCTTTTAAATAA